CTGCGGCCACCTACTGCAGGGGGCCCCCCAGCCCGCGCCGCCACCCCTTTTCCATGATGCAAAAGGGCTGTTACTTGGAGAGATCCTGGGTGCAGAGGGAAGTGCTAACTCAGCCGGGCAGGCTCCAGGGCGGCTGTAACCTCTTCATGCCCACAGCCAAGAAGTGCCAGGCCCAGGAGACCAGGCTGTTGGCAGTGAAACCCAAAGCTCAAGAAGACGGCAGGAGACGTGGACCCCTCATTGGCGCTCGGGTCATGGAGAGGGGCAGGCACCTCGCCTGGGCCATCCCAGCCCTCTACGTGCGGGATGATGAGTCTCCGGCTCCTCTCAAGGGAAGGGGCAGCGCCTCTGGGAGGGGGAGGGGAGGATACCTTTCACATGGTGGCAACAGCTGCCGCTGTGGGTGCTGCGTCTTTATTTTTCTTTTCCATCTGCTGATCACAAAATCCGCCAACTTGAGAGACGCTGCATGTCTCCAGCCAGCGTTTGGGGTGCTGTCTCTGAGGACTGAGCGTTGCTTTGCAAGACCCTGTCAATCACTTAGTTAAGCAGCACCACCTGGCCCAGGAGTGAGACCCTCCCCAGAGTGGGAGGCTGGGCTAGGTCAGCACAGCTGCAGCTTCCAAAGCACCCGTGTCCACTGGCCCGAGGAGAGGCCCCTGGTCTCTTGGGTATTTAAGACACAGAAGGTAAAGTTTCAACCAGTTTGTGGGCCAAAAAGTCTCCCAGACCAAAGGCTTTCCCATGAGAACCCTTGGCCAGCCATGATATCTGGCTTGGTGACATTCTGAGGGGTTTCCTGGGATGGTGACACTAAGCAAGAAGCCACCTTCAGATGAAGCCTGACTTTGCATTCATGGCTTCAGGTAGCTTCAATGATGGAGCGTCCGTTCTCTCTGACAACAGGGATCCAAGATGGTCAAGGATCAGGTCAGAAGAAGACCTGGCTCTTGCTAACAAACTGCAGAAGCCCCACACAGGAAGGGAAAGCCATTGGCTTCCGGGGCCTGGGTGTCTGGGTGGATTATGATGATCCCAGCAGCTAGCTGTGCCTGTGCTAGAAAAATCCCCTTCAGCCTACAGGTGTATTTTGTTGAGCAGACCATGTTTCTCCCCCCTTCTCTGTACCCCTGTCCATCCTGCCCACTGTGACATGCTGGTTCATGTCTTCAATCCCCTGTAGTTTTGTTCCATTGGTTCCCATAGTGCCTACCCGAGTTGCCACCTGTGGTCAGCTGCTAGGAACAGCCCAGGGATGGTGCCACCTGAAGGTTGGGGTCATCAAGCCATTTAGTGTCCACGTCAGGACACGCTGAGAGTGGATGGAGGCTCTAGGAGCGATCGATCGCATCAGGAGGAATCAGCACAGACCAGGAGGGGTGACTGTGTCAGGATCTCCCTGGCTGTAGACCAGGAGTGGAGGAGAGTGAGCCATGATGGATGCAGATCTGAGTTCATCAAATGCTTCCAGGTAGACCCTCGGCACGGCTCTGCGGTCTGTAGATCCAGCAGGACTGCCCGCGCTCCCGGCCTACTAGGCGAGGTACTGATACCGCACCTGGTTCCAGTCCTCGCTCCTTCCCACATCATTACCAGTAACTGTTGGAAGCTGAGGAATCTGGTAGGTGTAGTTCATTAGAGTTCGTTGCTTGATTGGCCTTAATTACTAGGAAACTGAACACTTCTTGAAGAGCCTGTGAACTCTAGAAGTTTCTTCTTTCGGAGAGTCTCTGTTGGAAGGCATGGCCCACTTTCCCGGGCATCTTCCTGTATTCTGGTTTGTGGATTCACAGCAGTGCCTTGACTCAGCTAGATGTTGACCACTTACCCATGTACGTGTTGCCAGGCCTCCCCCCAAGCTGGGCACGACTAGTAACTCTGCCCGTGGGCCTTTCTTTGACTGGAAGCACCTAATGTGGTCAGATCCACTGGCCTTCTCGCTTCCAGGATGACCTGGGAATCTTGCTTAAGTTACAAAGTCACCTCCTTCGAAGTTCGACCTTCATACTCAGGCCTGGAGTTTCTGTGGAACCACACTATGCATGGTATTATGTGGGGGTACTTACCCCGCTGCAGTATCTGAACCACGTTTCCCCAAACCATCTTTACCCCGAAGAGTGGGCTGAATGAGTGGCCCACGGGGGACAGCTTTGGATGTTGAACTCCTAACCCCCAATACGATGTCTCGGGCGGTGGAGTCACTGGATCTTGAGGGTAGAGAATTTGTAAAGGGGACCCCAGAGAATTTGTAAAGGGGACCTCTTGCTATCTTTCCACCATGGGGAAGGCACAGTAAGAAATCGGCAGTCTACAGCCCACAAGAGGGACCTCACTAGAACCAGACCTTGTGGGCACCCTGATCTGACTTGCAGTTTCTAGAACTATGAGGGATAACTTACTGTTGCTTCAGCCACCCAGCCTAGGGTAATTTGTTATAGCAGTGCACACTGAGCCAGGCACCCTGCCCTCCCTTTCCCCACTGCAGCAGCATTATTATCTTGTCGGTTTCCATAGACCAGGGTCTGTCCTTGAGGGCTCTGTCTTGTTTACGGATTCCCCATGCTGCGCTGCCGCTGGTAATGCTTTAAGGTTACTGGCCCACATTTCAAAATGTCTGGACTGGGAATTTTTCAAGACACGTCGCATTTGATAGCACTGAGCCTGCTCGGCTAGTGCTACAATCCACTGCAGAAGCAGACCCGCCTTCTACAGGTGCACGCTGAGCATGGCTCCCAGCCTGGTCTGCAGCACTTACCATAGGAGCCTGCTCCTCGGGGAGACGAGTTTGTGTACTGGACACTTCTCCCGAGATAGGTGAAGCGAAGACCCCATTAGAGCAGTCCTTAACACCCTGGAGGGAGGAATAGGGGCGTGGCAGAGAGTGGCAGAGGGGAGGGGCGAGGAGACGGGGGAGAACCAAGGCCTCAGCTGTCTGCGCTCATTGTCACAATGAACCAACCACAAATGGAAAAGCACGGCCAGCCTCTGCAGCACGGAGCCTGGAGGGTCTTGCATTCCAACACAGGCTCTGGCCAAGTCTCCAGGGCAAGCCTAAAGCGAGGGAGATCAGAGCCGAGCTCAGGAAGGAAAGTGGGTCCCCACGGTGCAGGAAGATGAGGGGGTGCGGGAGGGGATTGGGGCCCAAGCAGGGCATTGGGGTGAGGCTGGTTTAAACGCCATGTTTTACGTGAAGCGTTTTAAAATCTGCTTGGGAATCTTAGATTAGAAAGGATCTGAATTTTTTAAAGTTCCCCTGGTACCTTGTCAGCCCTGCAGACTTTCAGTGGACCTGACCCAAAACCCTCCCTTGGCTTTGCTCAGACCTGCATTCCCCCAGGAGTGAAGAGCCCATTCCACAAGTTAGGTAGGTTCCAACACATCCCTCCCAAAGGCCGAGTACCAGAGCAAGGGACGGGCAAAGGGAAGGAGGGTAGAGAAACGTGTTTTAGGATGCTTCGTTTCTCATAGCAAAAGGTCACTGTGTGCGTCTGTTTTCTATTGCTAATAAGAGAATACCAGGTCGTGCATGTTTTATAGAAAAGAAGTTTATTGTGGCTCACAGTTGTGGACGTCAAGGCCAAGGGGCTGCTCTAGTGATGGTCTTCTAACCCAGAGCTGCAGGGTGGTGCAGGGCATCACATGCATCCGACAGACAGCCTCTGCTGCTCTCCCCCCTGTACAAGGTCACTGGTATTCAGTCCTGGGGCTCCGTCCTGATGATCCTATCTCATCCTGTCTCCCAATGGCCGCCCCTAAATGCCATAGTCAGATTGAGTTTCCACCCTCTTAATGGGGTTAAACTCCAACATGAGTTTCGAGGGGGAATCGTATCGAGCCACCAAGTGGAGGCTGCCACGTGCCACTGGAACACACCAACGACCTCATTCAAGCTCGCTCACTCACTCTCCACCCCCTCGAGCTGGAACACTCCGTCTTCTCCTGCCCACCCTCCTGCCTTAGACGGCAGAGCTCCTGTTCCTGAGGCCTCCGACTCTAGGACTAGCATGAGAACCAGCCTCCCACCTCTGCCTCCAGTTCTCTGGCCTGGAACTGAGAGTTCCAACATGAGCTCCCTGGGTTCTCAGGCCTCTAGGCTCAGACTCAGTTACTCCACTGGCCTCCCTGGGCCTCCGGTTTTCATGCAGCGTTATTGTGGGACTTCTCAGCTTCCGTAACCACGTGAACCGATTTCCATAAGAAGTCTCTCACTGTTCTGTTTCTCCAGAGAACTCCAATACAGCTCTGAAAAAGTCACTGAAGTGAGATTTAAGAAGTTCACGATTCAAGCAGAACAACCAAAAAGGAAATCACACAGGTTTATCACACAGAGAAAGTCTGTGGAGGCTGCGGAGGGGGACACATGCCCTCAGAGGAGCCGCAGAGACTGACATCGGACTCGGCACCAGCTGCAGAAGCCACAAGTTGATGAACTATCAACGTTAGAGTCTGTCAACAAGTCAGGATGGCGCCTGGCATTTTGCAGAGGG